TTTATTTCCTCTTATCTCCATGGGAAGTGGAACAGAATTCTTCCTCCGTAAGCCATGCGTGTTGTAAGAGGCGACTAAAATGCCGGGAGCAAGGGCTAGTAACCTCTTCTCCTGTATATATTACTAAATGTAAAAGGAGAAACTTTCGTTTTTCCTTTTGGGCCACCCCGCCTCGGTGGGATACGGCCGGTGTGTTGAAAGAAGTTGAATATATATATATAATGTATATATATATATATATATATATATATATTATATAATATATATATATATATATATATATATATATATATATATATATATAATGTATATATATATATAATGTATATATATATATATATATATATATATATATATATATATATATATATATTTATATATATATATATATATATATATATACCAATATTTGTATTTCTGCCAGAGTATAAATACCGCATCTTTCAGTGACTTTGACTATTTTAATCCATGTTACAGTGATTTTTCACAGTTAACAGGAGACAGGTTAGTTGTAGCCTTAAGAAGCATGCAGTTAATATCCCTTAACCTAACAAGTACTCTATACTTATCAATGGTTATTAGTCGGACATTTCTAGATAGTCATTAATAGTCATTTAATAGCTGGGAAACAGATGAGTGGACCCACTCATTTATAACAGTTAGATTAGGAATTGTTTGTCAGGAAACAGGACTAGCGTTCCCTGACGAGGGTCTTAATCAGATGATGAGCCGCCACTGGAGATTTTGGTAATCTGACGGAGGTCTTCCGCCGGCTTACCGGTCCACCTCTTTAAAAATTATATCTATAGTTTAATTTCATCTGGACAAACTTTTATTAATCTTGATAAATGTTAATTAGTAATTAATATTCTTAATATCTAATGGAGGTATTGTAAGTACACGTTGCTTCAGTAAGGGAATTTTGGTGCTGATGGGCTTTAGATCCAATTAATTGGAGTTACCCTCCCCTACCACTGGGAAGACAGCTTTTTATATGATCGGTTAGTCGGACTTGACTCCTGGAGGTAGGAAATCAAGTGCCTACACTCCGAAGGAGGGAAGACATGCTGCAGTTTTCTAGCTGCAGTGTAGGTGCGCCTCTGGCAAGAATAATGGAGTTACTGATGAAAGTTTTTTTTTTTTTTCGGGTCCCCTGCCTGGGTCCACCTTTTAAAAAAATACAATTTTTAATTTTAACGGTTATTAAATATTTTTTTATTTTTCAATTTAATGAAAATAACTTTTTAAACCATGAAAACGAATTCCCCCAATTTGAGAAAGCTAAATCGTTTTGTGGCAGGGGGGGTAAGGAACCCGGGCAGGGGGAAACATCGCTTTTCCCCAGGAGGCTGGGAGGGCCAAAATGGGTCATCCTGGCCGGGAATTGTTAAATACTTTTTCTTTAAATTTCCACCCAAATCAATTCCCTTTCCATGAAAAAAAAAGGGGGGGAAAGGGGGAAAAGAAGGGAAGGGGGAAGGGAAAGTGGGGAAGGTGGGAAAAGTAAAAGGGAGGGGGGGGAAAGGGGAAGGAAGGAGAAGGGAAAAGGGAGGGGGAAGAGAATTGGGGGAGGAAAAAAAGGAGGGGGAGGAAGAAGAAAAAGGAGAAGAAGAGAAGGGAGAAGGGAGAGAGGGAGAAGGAGATGAGGAAAGGGGGAAAGAGAGGAGAAAGAAGGAGAGGAGGGAGGGGGGGGGGGGGAAGTGGGGAGGGGGGGAGGAGAGGGGGAAAAGAGAGAAAAGAGGAGGGAAGAGAGGAGAATTTTGAGAGGGGAGGAGAGAGAGGAGGAGAGAAAGGAGGAGGGGAGGAGAGAAAAGAGAGGAAGGAAAAAGGAGAGAGAGAAAGGGGAAGAAAGGAGAAAGAAAAGAGAGAAAAAGGGAGAGAGGAGAGGAAGAGAGAGAGAGAGATAGAAAAGGAAGAAGAGGAAAAAAAAGAGAGAAAGAAAAGGGGAGGAAAAGGGAAAAGGGGAGAGGAAAAGAAAGTAGAGGAGAGAAAGAGAGGAGAGAGAGAGGAAAGGAGAGAGAGAGAGAGAGAGAGAGAGAGGGGGAAGAGAGAGAGGAGTAGGGGAAAAGAGGAGGAGAGAGAGAAAAACATGGCAACTGAAAAACAATAACAGTTTTTGAACATATACAGAACAAATAAGTACAATACCGTGATGGAACAAACACAAATAACTGCACATAAGGAAAAGAGCTTTTGACTACTTTGGGCCCGATTGGATTAGTTAATGGCCAAGTCGGACCGAAACTTAAATGAAGTTTCTTTCCCTTATGTGGGGTTATTTGTTTGTTTTAAAAAAGAAAAAAACAAAATCCAGGAAGGGACGACAACGAGTTGGTCATTGACAAAGGCATTACTACATATGTATCTAAAGGGTTTAACGGACGAAAACCCGGTGGCATTGAAAAAGGCATTACGTACATATTTTCTAAATGGATTAACGGACGACAACCAAGTGGTCATTTCAAAGGATTACGTAATTATCAAAAAGGGATTAACGGACGAAAACCCAGGGGTCATTAAAAAAGGGCATTAGTACAATGTATCAAAGGGATTAACGCCCAAAACCCAAGTGGCCCACTACAAAGGCATTACGTACATATGTATCTAAATGGATTAACGGACGACAACCGAGTGGTCATTGACAAAGGCATTACGTACATATGTATCTAAATGGATTAACGGACGACAACCGAGTGGTCATTGACAAAGGCATTACGTACATATGTATCTAAATGGATTAACGGACGACAACCGAGTGGTCATTGACAAAGGCATTACGTACATATGTATCTAAGGGATTAAGGACACAACCGGTGGTCATTGAAAAAGGGCATTACGTAAAAATTGTATCAAATGGTTTAACGGAGACAACCGATGGTCATTGACAAAGGCATACTACTATGTATCAAAATTTATTAAGGGACGAAACCGAGTGGTCATTGAAAAAGGCATTACGTAATATTATTAAATGGTTTTAAGGGGTTAATA